GTGGTGATGGAGAAAAAAAACTTAAATTTGAAAAAAAAGAACCTTTTTGGAGAGAGGGGGTGTGGTGGGATGTGGGGTTGTGGGGTGGGTTGGTGAGGGTAAGGAAGGTTGAGAAGGAGTTTTAGAAAATATTTTTCCTTCTCTTGATAAGGAAAACATTTTCCTCCAATTGAAGGAAAATGAGTTCGTAAGGAAAATGTTTTCCAAAACATTTAAGCCAACCAAACATGAGAGAATTGAAAAACATTTTCCGCAAAATATTTTCGTTCGTCCGAACACACTCTTAATCGCAATATGGCTGCGGTTCTAGCAAGAAAGTAAAATGAGAAAGAATTGAAAGATTCAGTCTTTAGAAGCACAAGTCATTTCAGCAAAGACTTTGTGATGATCATTGATTAGTGAAGTTTATCTTTGAGGAATCCATTGCTAAATTCACTTAAAAAGGAACTCCAAAAGAAAGATCATGAGCAAGTCAATGCAAGTGTTGAAAAACAATTGAAGCTTTGAATATTAGAATCAAAGAAAGTTAATATTATTCAAGTATTAGATAGCTTTTGAACCCTTCCTCAAGATAATATATTTTAATTGCTTCGGAGGCCTTAATACTGCTATCTTCTTTTAGTTTATTGAAGGGTCATTTGTCAGTTTGGCTCCACCTTATTGTTGTTTATTCATTTAAAAAAATTCTAACAGTGGTTCTTGTCATTTCAATTTTACTTTTTATTTTTATTTTTATTGGGGGAGGGAGGGGGTGGGGGGGTTAGAAATGTTTCTTTTTTTTCCTTCCTTATTTTGCCTTATCATAATTACTTTACTTTCTTTAATGCACTAATATAACTAATCATTAAGGTACATGCAAATAACAAGGTTTATCATAAGTTAATAGAGTTTGCGCCGAAGAAAATAACAACCACTAGTTAATAAAGGTTTGGGTTTGTGTGGTTGGCTTGCAAGTGGAAAATATAATGATGCACTTAACTAACATAAACAATAGTAAAATATACAATTGAAAATGCAAATGTTTTGATGAGTTAATTAATTAGATATAAATGTTGTTACTCGCAGCTGCACCACTGATCACTAACATCTTTATTCAAGAATCCAAAACATACACTTAGAACACTAGATATCTAAATTCTAATTTCTGTACTAATAATCCTACAAGCAGTGGCGGAGCCACTAATTAGCAAGGAGAGTTAATTGACACCCTGTCTGTATTGGTGGAAAATAAATAATACACGTGAAATTACATTGGGCAGATAGAACATGATACGTGGAACAATGAGAAAAAGACAACTGGAATATTATAATATAAAAGATGAACGAGTTACAAAAGGTACAAGCAAAGCCTAAATTAGTCGATGAAGAGACACATACGGAATGAATCAAGACAGTAAAAAGGGAAGGTTCATGAACCTTCAATTAATGATGAGGGGGAATCAGAATCGTTACAGAATCCTCGTGAACCGTTACGATTACCAATTATAACGGATCATTAATACCATTAAAGCTCATAATGACTTAGCCATAAATGGAAGGAAACGTTCTATTTGTAAACCTCTATATAAGAGGAGAGAATTTAGCTTGTAAGGACATCTGAGGCAATATTGAAATATATACTTTACTTTCTGCATTCTCGAAATTCTCTGCTTTAACTTTGCAATCAATTATTTCTTTAGTTATTCTTCTTATTTTCCTTTGATACCGAAAGTGAAGCTAAACTTGGTTATCAGTAACCCATGTTCTTCTAAAATTAGACTTTGATCAAAAGATATATTTTGGTTAAACATTGTCGCGAAAAATTACACTGTATAGCTATATATGTTAAATATTTATTTTTTATGTGTATATACTATATATTGACTCCCCTTAATTTCTTCTCATGCTTACTTATTTATATTTTGACTCCTCTTAATAAAAATTCTGGCCTTCACCCCTGTCTCTAAGTGTTCTATAATATGCAAACTTACAACAATAATAAGTTTGGTATGATGAAATCATGAAATATAGTCTCCTCTTAATTTCCATCAAGATAAAAAAATGACTTCCTTCATTTATGGGCAGAAGTTGCTTTCCTTGCAATAAGCCCAACTTTTAGTCATTCAAACCCGTCAATCAGTATAAAGATAATATTACAAAATTTTAATACCCAAAATAATAACATTATTCACTTACCCTATTTTACATCTGTGTAGTTATCATAGGTCACATATTTACACCTTATCAACACTGAAAATGGACCATAGAATTATTGCCAAAAAGAAAATATTTGTCATAAAATAATATTTTACTCGCACATTTTCTTCTTCAAATCACTCTCTACATATGCGTAGAATTAAGGATAAGCATAACATCCGATCAAGTTTATCATTTCTTCAACTTTTCTGCTGCCTCTTACAATTAGTATGAACACTTGAATAGATGGAAAACCGTATTGCTTATTGAATACATAAATGAGTTTAAATACAAGTTACAGTAACCAACTTTCTAGAGTTTCATGTAAACGAAATAACTAAAGAATCATATCTAAATCAAAAGGATAACTCCGAAGAACTAATTATGATATCATCTAATCTAGAAGATAAATGCAATCTAATCTAAAGAGATAAATACTGGGAACAAACTGATAACTACTATTAACAAGGACTGTTGGTCCATTACGCCCCCCTCAAGTTAGACTCTGTGTCATTAAGCCGACTTGAACAAATTGCGGCTAATGGCTGGTTTAGCAAGTGTTTTAGTGAACGTATTAGCTAGTTGGTTAGCTGAATGAACATGAACAACTCGAACCGCCTTGCATTCAACATGGTTGCGCACAAATGAAAGTCCACATCGGCATGCTTCATGCGACTATGAAGGCCCAGATTCCCGCTTAGATATGTGACACCAATGTTGTCACAGTAGATTGTAGGGGTATCTCTGATAGGAAGCCGCATATCAAGCAGTATGTTTCTCACCCACAATAGTTCGGCAAGAGCATTGGCCAAAACACTATATCCGGCTTCAGTTGATGAGCGAGCGACGGTTTTATGCTTTTTTGAAGACCAACTGATAGGATTTTGGTCAAGGAATAGAATATATCCAGACACGGAGGATCTGTCAGTCAGATCTCCAGACCATTCGGCATCAGAATACATGTGCAGATTAAAATCAATGTTCGGGTACACATGCAGGTAAAACTGAATTGTACCACGAAGGTATCTGAGAACACGTTTCACAGATTTCCAATGAAGATCAGATGGTGATTGCATAAACTGGGACAATTTATACCGTATAGGAAATATCCAGCCTTGTAAAAGACAGATATTGAAGTCTGCCTAGGACTCGGCTATAGTTAGTCACATATGTTAGTGGAGACCCATCATTGAGTTTTAGCAATGCCGAGGCACTCATTGGTGTGTTGGCGCTCTTACAATTAGCCAACAATTCATCATTTAGGATCTCATTGACATAATTAGCTTGAGTGGGAATAATATCATCTGCAACAATGAATCATCTCAACACCAAGAAAATAATTTAGATTTCCTAAATCTTTAATTAAAAAACGAGAAGCAAGGGAAGTTATAACCTCATTTACAGTGATACAGTTGCTACCAGTAACTATGATATCATCAACATATACCAAAATAAATATGAAACCAGTGTTGCTATGCCGAGTGAATAAGGAGTTGTCAGATTCAGTCTTGACAAATCCCACGTAGGAAAGATGGCCTTTGAGTGCATTATACCAAGCCCGAGGTGCTTGCTTTAAGCCATAATTTGCCTTGCGCAACTTACAAATATGATTCGGATTATTACCACAAGCATAACCCGGAGGTTGCGTCATGTAGACCTCTTCTTCAAGGTCAAATTGAAGAAATGCATTGTTGACCTTGAGCTGAGGAAGAGGCCAGTGAAAACGAAGAGCAACATCAAGTATGATTCGCACAATGGTGGGTTGGACCACTGGACTGAAAGTAGAGTGAAAGTCAACACCCGGCCTCTAAGTAAATCCCTTCGCAACCAGTCTCGCTTTGTAATGATCAACAGAACCATCTACTTTTCTCTTAATCCTGAAAAGCCACTTACACGAAACAACATTCTTAGAAGGATCATTTGGAGCAAGTCCCAATTATGGTTATTCAGTAAAGCATCAAATTCATTTTTCATCGCTGCTCTCTGCTCCAGATGTTTTTGGGCTTGTTTGGAAGTGTGGGGTACGAGTGTAGGTTCCATGTGAGTGAAGCAGTCAAAAATCTCTTCTGGTTTTTTAATGTTATTCTAGGAACGAGTAACTACACGATTAGGAAAGGGAGGATTGTGCGGCAGGGGTGGCTCTGATTGGTGCTCAATGCGAGAAGCAATGGTGGTAGGTGGGGGCATCAAATTGGTTGATTTTGGGTTCGGACTGTTGATACACTAACAATGGTGGCGTAGAGGTCGGGATGGATTGGATTGATGTATGAGGTGAATTTATAGAGAGTTTAGAGGGTGGCAGAGGTCGGGCACAAAATGACTGCGAGAGGGATGGACTCAAATAGCGGGAATCATTAGGAGGAGATAGAGACATACCTAATGCAGGAGTTTGTGAGGACCCCAAATCAGCTGGTACCACTGGTAACACGCTGGGAACCTCGAGTGGAAATGATGGATTTGTATCTGGAGTTTCATTACTCAAATGAGATGATGGATGTTGGGGAAGGGATTCCGTCGTATGAGGGCTGGGTTCAGTCTCAATGATTTTATTTTGTGTGGGGTTTATAATAGGTTGGGGTAGTTCTGAAAATAAAGGTAATTGAGATGTGGGTTTTGTGGGTTCTTTATTTGTGATTTTATCCCATTCCAATTTATATGATTTAAGTGCAATATTTGAAAATAAATTTTTGAAGGAAAAAATATTCTCAAAAAATTAAACATCACATGATAAATAAATTTTTGACGACACAGGATCAAAATACTGGTGGCAATGATGGGTTAAAGAGAAACCGAGATAAGCACATGGAGTAGACCTGGGTTCAAGTTTATTTTTAGAATAAGATTTGAGCTAAGGATAGCATAAACAACCAAAAATTTTAAGAGCACCATAATTAGGTATTTCACCAAATAACTTTTGAAGTGGGGACTGGTTATTTAAAAGTGAGGCGAGAAGACGATTGATTAAATAAACAACATGTTGACACGTGAATGGCCAAAAAATTGATGGAAGAGATGCCTCATTAAGTAGAATTCTTGCACTTTCAATAATATGAAGATGTCGTCTCTCTGCAAGAGCGACCCTTTGAGGGGTATAAAGTGGTGTAGAAAGATGTTCGATACCGTGAAGGGCGAGATAAGAGTCAAGAGTTTTATACTCCCTTCCACCATCAATATAAAGTGATAAAATTTTGGTATCGAAGTGTTTTTCCATTAGAGGGTGGAATTTTTGAAAAAGATCTTTGATCTCACTTTTATTTTTTAAAATGTACAACCATGTATACTGCGTGTATTGATCAACAAACAAACAATAATAAAATTTTTTTTTTATCAATGGATAGAACTGGAGAGGGTCCCCATAAATCACTAATAATTACTTGAAGAGGTTGAGAACTTGTCAAACTCAACTGACTATATCATTGCCGATGATTTTTATTAGATGAACAAGAATTACAGAAAACAAACTTGTCTCGCATAGATAATGGAAGCAAAAATTTATTCAAGATATACTTAAGAACTCTATAATACGGGTGACCTAGTCTTAGATGCCATGTGGTCATGGAAGCCGCGATAGAGGACATGTGAACTTGCGGATGTGGTGGTGGATATGACTTGGGCCACTCATACATTTCATGTTTATTCCGGCCTTGCACCAGTGGGACTCGCATTTTCAGATCCTTCACAAGAAAATCAAAAGGAAAAAATTCGATTGATGTTAGATTATTTTGACAAAATTTGGAGACAGAGATAAGTTTACGTTTGATATCAGGAACACATAGAGTGTGAGTTAGATGAAAAACATTATTTGATGCTTTTAATTGAGTTGAACCCGTATGAGTTATGGGAATCTTGTTACCATCACCATAGAGATATTCTCATTGCCATGATATTCCTGTAACTTGTGTGGCTCTGTTATAAGATGATGAGTAGCTCCAGAATCCATAACCCATGGGTTGGCAGTAGGGGTGGGCATAGTTTGGGCAAACCCGAAATCCAAACTGAAATCCGAATTTTTTAGTTTTTGGTTTGGATTTTCGGATTATGGATTGGATTTTGGATTTAATTTTTAAATTTTTTAGACTTCGAATTGGATGTTGGATTTGGCACTTTTGATTTTTGGATATCCGAAAATTCGAAAAGTTTATACTTTATATGTAGTCCATTATCTATATGTCAATAATAATAAGTTAAATACCCTATCCATTAAAAAATATTTCATATATGCAATATTAATTACTAAGTTACTGTCAGAATGCTTTCTATTTGGACATAGTTTTACTATTACTACTTCTTATCGGCCGTATTAATATCTCTGTTGTATTTTCTTGATAGTAATTTCATTACTTGAATGCTTTATTTGGATGATTGCGATGAGAATGAGTAGCTTTTCAGGCAATTTAATATGAGTACTTCATTTGGATATTCATTTTTGTAAAAAGAAGAAACATGTCAATTTATAAGCTCAAAACCGAAAATCTAAAATATCCAACCCGATTAATCCGAAACCGAACTTAAAATCTGATCCAATCCGAGCTTCTTTGGATTGTCATTTCTTCAATCCGAAAACCGAAAATCCAAACCGAAATTTTATATTTAATCCGAACTGCCCGAACGCTCACCCTAGTTGGCAGTAGAGGTCAAACGACAAGCATAATTAGCTTTAGCCTCAAAGTGATTGTGAAATTAGATCTGCAGACACTTCCAATGTGGCCAATTTTGTTGCACAACTCAGATAACATTAATGAAATTAGTGTTATTCGGGGATTGCCACTAAGCTGGCAGATTGGAGCGAGCATTCTGGCGCCATAGTTGAGGATTTTGAGTAGGCATGCCATTATAGTTCTAACGATGATTGTTACGGTTGTTGAAATTATTGGTTGGTTTGTTGCGAGTGGCCACCGCAATAGTGATTGGGCTCGACATTTTCTTAGCCTCCTCATGACAGAGAAAGAGCTCATGGTCAAGCAGCTTCTCATATAGTTCTTCATAGGTGACTGTGGTGTCACGTGCACGTATAACAGCCGAGATCTCGCGAAACTGATGGCCAAGTCCACTAAGGATTTTGACAATGAGTTTGGAGTTAGTAACAGGGGCACCAACAGTGGCTAGTTCATCTGAAATGGACTGAATATGTTGAAGGTATTGAGTAATAAGGAGGGATTCATTGGTAATTTGCGCAAGTTGATCAAGAAGGCTAAAGATCCGAGTTTGGGACTTGATTGCATAAGCAGTGTGCAGAGAGTTTCAAGCCTATTTTGATGTGTTGGTAGAAGCAACTGTGGAGGCAATGGTAGGATCAACTGACGCCATAAGGGCATTTTGCATGAGTTGATCCTGACGGAACCAGAGTGTATAAGCAGGGTTAGGGGCTGTGTTGGTGCCAAAAGTGGTGCTCGGGGTGGGAGTCGTGGTAGATCAATCAAGGTTAACCATAGAGGTCATGTCTATACATAAGCATGGAGAACTAATCATTCCAAGTGGAAAAATTATGACTGCCACTAAGTTTGATTGGCAGTTAGGAAGCGGGGTTGAATTGAACTATGGTGTTGATACTAATAGTGTTATCAGCATTGATAACTCTGGGAGTATTTTCGTCTTTTGTCATTGGGAGGGTCTAGTTCTTGGAAAAAAATAGGATCGTGCTTGATAGAGTTGTATAGGCTCAGATACCATATGAACACTTGAATAGATGATGGAAAACTGTATCTCTTATTGAATACATAGATGAGTTTAAATACAACTTACAGTAACCAACTTTCTAGAGTTTCATATAAACCAAATAACTAAAGAATCCTATCTAAATTAATAGGATAACTCTGAAGAACTAATTATGATATCACCTGATCTAGAAGAAAAATGCAATCTAATTTAAAGAGATAAATACTAGGAGCAAACTGTATAACTACTAGTAACAAGGATTGATGGTCCAACAATTAGGAGTTGATCATTTCCAATCATGCCCATTACACTTTATTGGGAGCATTCAAAAATGATTATTGTTTGGAGGCTTAATGCTAGGTGTAGCTATAATTTAGCTAATTATATTCCGTAGCTACTAATTACTTTTCATGGGATGTATGTCGCTGTATTCAATTCGGTTGTGTACATTTTATTCAATTCGTATGTATTCATTCTTATATATTTTACATTGTATTCAATTTCACTGTATTGAATTCAGTTGTATTCAAACAATAAAAAATCAAAAAATAAGGCGTATACCGCTCTATTCAATTGTCACGACCCCAACTTCCCTCTACGACTAGATAAGCCTAACAAATAATACTAACTGAATATATATAAATTGACAAGTTACTGAAAATAACTGAATAATAGATAAAACCTTCTGAAATCAGAATCTCTCAATACACATCCCAAAACCGGTGGAACTGACTCATAAGCTTTGCAGAATACAACTAGAGTACTAATACATCACTGCCCAAAAGGAAATATACTATTAAATGAGAATAAGGGAAGGTGACTTCGAGGCCTTCAGACGCCGAGCAGGCATACCTTGAAGTCTTTGATAGGGCAGTTAGCAGGAAATCTCTAACGATCGGCACGAGTAGACGTACCTGGATCTGCACAAAAAAAGTATAGAAGCGTAGTATGAGTACACCACAATGGTACCCAGTAAGTATCAAGTCTATCCTCAGTATAATAGTGACGAGGCCAGGTCAACACCTACTAGGATATAAATAAAATTATAAAGTGTAATACATATATGTAATGGAAAGTGAAAAAACAACTAATATGGAACAAGATGATAGCATGAACTAGTACCGGAAATTAACAATAGAAATAGCATAAAAGGAGCAACTAAAGGGGCTACGATGATCGTGTACAAAGAATAACTGCTAGAACAAATAAGAGTGAAAGAAAAGATATATTCCCATCAAAACACTTTGCTACATGAAATAATAACAAGAATCACAATGAGGTACCGCCTCGTGTATAATGAAATCAAAACCGAGCTACCA